ATTCAGTATAATAATAATAGTAATAATAATAATGAAATAATAGTAATAAGATCAGTGATTCAACAACAATTCAGGTAATGAAAATAAGACTCAAAAAAAGTTCGAAAGTAGCCATAGTAAAAAAATTACTGTAAAAATTTAGATACAGGTGACGCAGATCGTTTTAAAAAAGTTCAAATATTTCCCGACGATAACAAAAACACAGTGCAGAAACCTCTTCGCTGGGCAGCAGACCAACAAATTCGATACTTTCTTCCTGGACAGTGGCAGTCTGAAACTGAAGCCCAACAGCTGGCTGTGATGTCGCTGATTTTTGAGTTATTGATGGTGAGAGAGTATCCGAGACCGAAACCGTAGCCGGAGATGCCGATTTATCCGCCGGTGATTTCTGCGACACCACATCAGCAAGCTGCATTTCCCAGTTTATTGTCGGCTGAAACTATTTAATGATTGGATGAGGCTCCATTTACATTGCGTAGATAAACTGCCTTTTCTCAACAGTCTGGCTGCATCAGTTGGCAGAGCTTTTCTAACAGATGGTGCAATGAAGTGTGCCATTTATCAACATGTTAATTCTGAATATTGCTAGACTACAATGCTTCAGGATCGATGTATAAAAGTTGAATATCTATAAAAATAACAGCCTCATTCGGCCAGCGCCCGTCAGGCACACTGATGAAAGAAGAAATTAATAAATCGGGAAAAAAGGATGTCACGAAAAATGGGAATCCCTGGACGGGTGAGCGCATTTGCAGAATACGGTAGTTTTGGCAGTGCAGATACAGGGTGGAAAATTCAAAGCGTATTAATAAGAGGACGCAAAAGTCCGCCGAGAGACATGGGTCGCTTTCCCTCGCTTGCTTAGAAGAAATGAAGTAAATCGGTAATGCGGGGTTAGAGCAGTTTTTTAAACAAAGAAGGCTGAAAAGACCATATACCGCTTGAGCGACCGAATGTATGCTGAGCAAGTGTAACCGGAAAGTAGCGTTTCCTCCCTTAGAAGAGACACAATAACAGTTTAGAACAAATGAAACTGAATCGAATATGGCACGAAGTCTATCAAATGATAGAGGCAGCACGCGGAAAGTGAAGATTAAGAAGAATGTACGTAAGCAGCAGGACAAAATGCTTTTATTATCTGCAGGATAATTTCTTTATGGACGTAGTACAGCAGCAAATAGCGCTATTTTCATGCTGGAGATAGAAGATTTCACTTCGCCAGCGGGACAGTCGTCCCTCTATAAATCCTTATTTTCCCTTCAATGATGACCAAGTACCGCCGCATGTAAAAGAGCCAAAAATGTCATTGCTTTAAAGCAAAATCCAAAGAGACAGCCATCGGTATCATTACCAGCAGGTGACTGTTGTTAGCATGTATCTCACTTGCTACTTCCGGACACTTCCATTTTTCACGACAGATAAATAGGGGTCTGAATTAAATACGGGTCTGAATTGTGAACAATGCTGCTGTAAAATACGGAGCAATGTGTAAGTGTTTCTATGACGAAACTCGAAATTGTACCTCATCAGCATGAACCAGTATTCGAAGCTGCTGCTTGGGACATAATTTTTCCACTAGTCGGGCCACAGTTTGGTATGCGAATGCGGACTGTTGACAAGCAGAGCAGTCCAAGAATTCGTCCAGCTCGGGATTGTCACAGCAGTGCTCGTACCGAACGAACGGCTTATGCAGCAGCACAGCGCAAGTCGAATACACTTGTTCAGCGACCTCTTTAATATCGTGCAGCGACAAATCGTTCAGCGCCATCTGTAAGTTATTAACAAAAAATATCCATTTTGTTCTTTCTACAGCACTAATCGCATCCGCTAGGAGAATGGTTGAGTTGACAATTCTGAAAATAAAGCAAAGATCAGAATCTTCACCAAGAAATGTAGCACTGGTCAAAGAAAGTGAAAAATCTGTCAGTAGTTGCAGAAGCAGACTATATATTTCAGCTAATCTAAATGAAAAACCATATAAAGGTAAATCCATATTAAAGAGCAAAAAGAAGGACTAGTAAGAATAGATAAATTTTACAAAACAAAGATACAGTAAAGGAAATGCATATCAGATAAACTCGACTGACCATGAGCAAGGGTGACAGATAACAGCTGGGCGAAACAAAGAGTTAAATGGTACCCAAGATTTTTTAAGAGACCGTACAATGAATCGAATTACTTACTCGACAATTTACAGTGGTGTGGGTGAGGAAGGCATGAGACCGTAAATAAGTGGAGAAGTTAGCAATTGTCTTGATGGATATCCAGACCATGAAGTAACAGTTCCTCTAGGCTCGCAAGAATATTTACCAGTATAAGTAATAATCCAAATTCCTACGAATTTTCCCTTCCACTTAAAAGACAAAATGGAGAAATGAGAGCCGTACCTGTTGTGAGATTATGTCGATCATAGCGACGTGTAATGCTACACGCTCTTCCTCCAAATCATTCTCATTATTCTGCTTCACTTCAGCTGGTGACATTCGTGCTGCACATTTTGAAAATGCATCGAGCAGTACTGGGAGTGGCATTGAAATCTCCATCAGTGATAAGGCCTGAAAATACTTTCATGAGTGACTTGTTTGTGTGAGAATTTTCATATAAAAAAACCCCTTCATGACAGCTTTTCGCACAACCATTCCAAACTTTCAGGAAAAACCCAGCTAATTGTTGGAAAAAATTTCATTCCCATCAAGAACTCCAAAAAATTTTTGATTATACGGCACTGAAACTTTTTTATGGATAGCACAGATACATACGTAGATCCAGTCCAGCGCGTTTGAAATTTCAGTCTCATCACCCTTTGCCAGGCGATCCGTAACAAACTGGTACAGCTGCTCATTGCTGAATGGAAGCGGACAAAGATCCGGCTCAAATATTTTGCTGAAAGCAGATTCGTTAACGTAACAGATCAAATGTTCGCTCCGCTGAAATCGTATAATTAAATAATACAATTTTAAATTTAGAAAAGAGAAATCACAGTGCCCATGTAAGCAGACCTAACTGTGTCAGACTATCGAAATCCCTAAAATCGAAGACAATCTGCGAATTGCATTTCGTTGCATTGTAGAGTTTGAAGCAGGAAGATTTCACCTGAGCATTATTTTGAATTCAGAGAAATCGTCGTCACCAATTATCTCACAAATACTTTGCATCCAATGGGGGATCAGCCTGTTCCATGTGTTCAGCGTGATGATGTCGTACGGCATTATTGCCAAAAGCTTATTCAGGCCATCCCGCATTTGCTCCTTTTTTGTTGACAGTCTGTCCCATACACCGCCCACCTGCAACCGAGCATGAATAGATTATAAAATATTTGAGCCTATCGGCGTGACTAGAATGTTCACATTAATCAACTTGCAGACTGGAGGTATCGGATGAAGAAGCAATGAAAGCAAGGATAAAAACCTAGAACGGACTTAAGTTTAGAAAATGGGCGCAATTTTTGGGTGGCATAAAAAATGCATTAAAAAAGTTGGTAGAAAAATAGCGAATTTTTGAAGTAAATCTATGGTACAAGTGCTAGAAAGCTGGCGAGAGGCGATCCAAACGATTTTTCCCAGCGCCCTGTGGTAACTCTTTACCGCCTTCCAAAAGCTGGCAGTGCCAAGAATACTATTTTCTAAGATTAGGTTTCGAAGCGCGCTATCCTGATTTATAGCACTGGATAGAAATTCGGATTATATGAGCTAAAAACATCTTTGTGACTTCGAATCAACTAGTAAGTTCCATCGCTTTTGTAAAGGACGTGGGGTTCAGAAAGAAACCCTTAAATATTTAAAAACTAATTACAAGTTGGCAATAAAAAACATATTGTAAAACATTATATAAAACATTATATACAAAAGATCCTATTTTCTTGTAGAAGCACTGGAAACCAAGTGCTTAGGCGCTATGTTTCGATGTAAGTTAAAACATAACACAAAAACTTTGTCGAAAAATATCTTCTCGTGAATCTACGTCTTTGTTTCCAGATCGGGAGGTAGAAAAACTATCGTAACTTTAAACATAAGGTGCTGCTTTCGTGCACCATTCTTAAATCGAAGGATGGGAAGAACTCTCCTTCGATGCTAATGGAAATTCCACTACAGGAGTATAAAAGGAGTCCTTAACAGCAGTCGACATTCTACACCGCCGGGCCTTGGCGCTTGCTTTGGACTTTTCGGGTCGTCATGTCTCGACAAAGCAACCCCCGAATTTCCCCTTTTTACTTGACCATCACTTTGTGTTATCTTATAACTGTAATTGAGCGAGACGTTTTACACGGTGCGGAGTGGGGACATTTTGCGTGAAGTTTTGAGGG